GGGGGGGGGTTGAGAGCTGCGGACAGGGGCAGAAAATGCCCATTTAATCATGTCATCCTCAGGCCACTTTGACCCAGTTTTCTCCAAAATGATTTTCAAGGTTCCCTTTTCATCCCATGGATGTAATCAGCCGTCTCCTAATGAAAAACTGACCGGCCTGCTCTGCTCAGATGTGCTGGATGTGAGCAGACAGCAGCTCAGAGGATCAATAACGCCACCGGCACTGGGTTCCACTGTCTCATGCGGAGAGAAAATCCATGGAAAGAAGCTCAGCAAGGAGCTTTCAGAGGCTCGCCGTGAGTATTTAGTCTAGCTCTGAGTGTCCCCTCGCTGTTTGGATGGAGACCTGTGGAGTCCGGGCCAAAAGCAGCTGGGAGCCAGCCCTTGATCACAGTGTTTGATTGAATTAAGCACTCACAGGTGGCCAAGCATGCAGGGGTCAAAGCAGACGTGTTCAATTCAATCTCAGTTGGATTTGAAGGAGCAGGAGTGAAGGTGGAGGACAGACAGAGGACGGCAGCCTTTGGGAATACCTGCAGACACAGCGTGGCCATGCTGGATCAGGGAGGGGCTGAAACAACAAAAAGCTCCTCACCAGGGTAATATTTACTCACGGGGGGACAGATGAGTTAGATTTGAACCCACAGAGGTCAGCTGGAGAAGAACTGGCTGCTCATGTGAATTGGAGTCTTTGAAAGTCAAATTTATTTATTTGGAGCTCTGAATAAAGTGTGTGAGAAGCCTCACTTTTCATTTTCACCTCCCAAAGGGGGGAGAACTTTGGAGGAACTTTGTGAGTTTCTCCCTCTGATCTGGGTTTGGATGATCTCCCAAAGGGAGCAGATGTGTTCACCAGAGACTTTCTAAACTGAGAGCAAACATCTGAAAGAGCCTGAGACAGGCAGCTGCTGTTATCACAGTGAGTTATGACGGCTGCTGGCAGCTTCCAGTGCTCGGAGTGGAGGGGTGGGAAGCTGATCATCTTTGGGTTAAGGGAGAGTAGAAAATCAGGGGCAGCTCGCTCCTGCATAGGTCTGTTTCGGCCTTCAGAACCCAAACCAAAACCAGACGAAACCTCCTTACTCTGCTGGTTTCTGTCTGTCGTTCAGTAGTCTGCGGCCCCGCACAGACACAGTCAGAGCCGCTTACACAACCTGTCATCATGAAGGGCCCCCAGAAGGGCCCAGGCAGCCCTGGGCCATCCTCAGGCCTCCACAGGTTTCTGATCCCCAATCAGAGCCAACGCAGAACGGGGAGATGGATGATGGGTAAAGCTGTGACTGAAACTGGATCAACAAGGAAAAAGGATGGACTTCACTGGCTAAAGTCGATCCTCCTCTGGATATTTGATGGATCAGCCCCCTGAGGAGTTGAGAGCAGAAGCCTCAGCCCGTGCTCTGCCCCCCCCCCCCCCCCCCTCTGGTCATGCTGTTCCCTGTGAGGGTCTCCTGGATTTAGTGGATGTTCGTCTGTGTGTGATCCGGCCTTGAGCTGGCCCAGACCTTTAGACTTGAGGGAACTCCCAAACACCTCTGAGCATCCACCTCAGGACTGACATTTGGCCCATTTTGCTATTCCAGCAGGAGGAGATGGAGGAGAGAGGAGAGGGAGGAGGAAGCACAAATATATATATATATATATGAAGATTAGTATTATAATTTCTTATGCAATTGTGACTACAATTATCCTGATTGAAGAGTTTTATAAAACAGCAACAGCCTCACACAGAAACGACATCCTGAGAGTGAAAAGGGTTTTCTTATCGGTGAATTATTTCCAGCTTTGTTTCCACCATCTGTGCACCTCCTAACAGAGACCTTCCACAAAGTAAATAAGCAAATAAACCAGGCGTAAAAACTCTGTGACATCTTGGTTTTACTTGCAGGGGGAAAGTGTTTGGTCTGCATTTGGAAATGAATCTGCAGCCGTCTGATGGTGATCAGTGATGGAAACAGGCTGGACGTCAGTGACAGAGCTGTGTGGAGCTGGAAGGGAGGGAAGCATCCAGCTCTTTCTGAACAGACCTGTGGATATGTTGGTTTGTAGATCAAAGCTCCAAAAACCACCTTAAGAGAAGAAGGAAGGAGAAGGATCTGAGTCTGGGAGGCTGTTGGTCGCTGACCTCCATCCAGTCAAAGGGATTTGGAAACTCTTCTCAATTCACTGTGTTTTTTTTTACTTTGGGCTGTTTAAACTTGCAGGCTTTCTTTATTCTGAGCAATTTGTAACCCCTGAAGCAAAGAGGGTTTACACGCTGCTGTTGGCAGCAGGAACAATTCACTCAGGTGGGAATCTTTAAGAAAACAGAGAAGAAACGGTGTAAAAAACGAGTTATTAACGCAAACTTAACCCATGACTTTGTAAACAAAGTCTCTTATTAAGTTGTTTTCTTTCCTCATTAACTGAACTGCTTGTAGATAAGTGGATGTGTGTCATTCATCTTATTGACCAGGAGAGGTCCAGAGGTTTTAAACAAAGGTTTGCTCATTTCTCTTTGTCCAAACATTGAAGGATAAGTAATGTGCTGAGAAGAGGAATGTAGCAGGTTACAGGCACCATATTTCTGGCTCTGCTTCCAGGGACAGGCGGTGATTCCTCATCTCTTATCTGAACAGTATCTGTGTAGGTCATGGAGGCAGCGTAATGTCTTCCTGCTAGCTCGCTAATGACAGGCTCTCCATTCCTCTTCCTCAAAGGTCAAGACTAATTCTTTCAATCAGCCACTGTGAGGATGTGCAGGCACTGAGAGGCCACGGGGATATTGAATCTGAAGACTTTCCAAAGGCGGGGTGCAGCTCTCAGACACTCACAGTAAGGCTGACGGCAGTTTGACACCACAGTTCAGCAGAGTCTGGACCTCCACACCTTCTCCGGACTTCTGATGGGACTCTGACACTTTCATTGTAAACCAAAACCACCTTTCTCTGTCAAGCCTAGCTGTTTTTTCCTGATTTAACACTGACTAGAAGGCTGCTGTACCACCCTGAGCCTGTGGTTTGTCCAGTGCGAGGCTGGGAGCAGCAAAGGTCAGGCCGGGCTGCCCTTTGAGGCAGAGCAGGCTGGAATCCTGAGTGTGGACAACTGTACGGCGCTCTGCTCAGAAAACAACCCCCTTCCGCTCAGGAGAAGATACGCATCTTCAGACGGCTGGGACCGGCTGGCCTGAGGGGCACATGGGGGGGGCAGGTGGCACGGCGGGGCTGGACGGGGCTGTGTCCTCCTCTTCCTTCCAGACGGCAGCAGACGCCTGCTGGACCCTCCCCTCAGCTCTGTCAGAGGCCTGATGCTATCAGCGCCCGCCCCCTGCTCAGGTAAGAGGTGACACTAAGTATACCTGATGACCCCCGTTGGACACGCCCCTTCAGCAGGGAGAGAGGGAGTAATGGCCATGGCTGTCATCATCATTCACAGCCTTATAAAGTCAGGGCAGGGTGACTGATGGGAGTAATGGACGGTTGTCCGGTCGGCTGCATCACCCCGAGCCTCTCAGATCTTTTCTTATCTGCTCGCTGAGTGCTGATCTGAAGAGGCTCTCTGCCTCTGCCGGCTCCTACCAGCCTTCATCCTCACGCCACACTCATCTGACACACAGAGGATTTACACTGACACCGCCCTCACTTTGAGCCAGGCAGTGGAAACCCACAACCTCCTCTCCTCCTCCTCTTGTGGACTGAGTGGACGCGGCTTTGACATGTTGTTAGCTATTCCAAAAAACGAAACATCGAGGAGGTCGGGAGCTTGAATGTCAGAGCAGGTAAAGGTCAGCGGTTGAGAGCCATCACCAGCTGAACGCCTCCTAAATACTGAGGCTGGACATAACACTACCACCAGATGTGCTCTCTGAATCTGGATGCAGAGATCTGAACATTAAGCTCACACTGATTTACATCAGGGGGAATTATTACCCACCTATCAGGTTATGGGTTGCTCTCATTCCATTCCTCTGGGGATTTAAAGGGGAACTGAGCTGTGAGGCAGCTCTTATGACAAGATATGAAATAAAAAACACTCCTTCCAGTTCTGTAGTCTTCCAGAAAATAGTAAAAGCATCAGTTTGTCTGCACATGCTGAAGTCAAAAGTAAATTGGACAACATCAAATGAGATGAGGACCTGTCCCATTATTTATGATACCCAGAGACAGAAAAAGAGAAAAATATGGCCTACAGTTACAGTTGAAGATCATCGAAAGAAGAAAAACCAGCATGATTTAATTATTTTGTAGATCTGATTTAAGGAATGATGACAGGGTTCTCTGAAACTTCCTACACTTTATTTCAGTGTAACTGAACGTGAGGAGTTCTTCCTGCTTGTTATCCCATTTGTTAATCATCTCAAAAGCACCAGCAGGAAAAAGCTGGAGTGATTAATCAGGATGGAGGCTGTTTGTTTGTGTCTGTGTGGACCCAACTCCAGGCTCCCGCTCTGCTCAAGTAATTACTACATCAGATGAGTCTCCTGCCCTCCATCATGTCGGCACGTGGCTTTAATTGGCTGACATGTTGTCTCACCTCTACAGCCCGTACAGTCCACCGAGAAGCTCCTAATTAATGGGCTGAGACCTAAAACAGCCGAATATGGCAGCGCTGCTCTGAGGTGAGAGGAGGATGCTGGAACAGTGAGTGGAACACAGCCCGGGAATTAAAGCCCCTAATTGGAGAGGCTCAGAAAACTTTTTTGACATGCGTGGCTCAGACGTCCATCAGTCCCTTTGCTGCCCCCGTAACCCCCCCGCTCTGGTCTGAGGATCAGCTGCCAGCTGTCCCCTCTCAGCCACCTCTGGCCAAACCTTCTGATTTAGCTCGGATTTGCTTCTTGCTGGGCCGATGGACTTTTTATGTGAGTGACAGACAGAGAGAGATGAGAGCAGACATGGGTTGGTGGAGAAAGAATGTGTTTTTATGCACTGCCTTCATGCTCTGATGCATACAAATGGGCTTTCATCTGCTCCACTTTGTCTGGCTGGTGGAGGGCAGCGTGTCACACCACCAGGCCCAGCTCCTCCGACAATAAAGGAGCCAATCATTACCCTCTCACCACTATCTATCATTAGGCTAACCCCACTAATCTGCCCGTGCCGGCACATGATGGATGCTTGGCTCCCACTAGCTCCACTGCAGGAGCAGCTTACTGAGAAAGAGAGCTGGAAGCATATCTCCTAATTAAGCCCGTGATCCATGGAGACACAGTACTACTGTGGGGCCCTCACAGCCAGCTCTCTGAGGCCAGTCCTTTGCATTGATCAGTGTTCCTGACAAATGAATTGGGATCAAATGCTACAAGATGGATACTGTTCAAAGAGATCTGGTGAGTGGAGGGTAGATGTTTGGATCTGATGGATTACAACATTATCCCGGGCTGCTCTCTGCACCCTGGGCTCTTCTCCTAGAACGTGGCCTGTAGCATGGTGGACATGCAGCGGGAAGCAGAGATTAATTATAAAAGAAAATATTCCAGTTTAACTGGACAACAATCCAGGAAAGAGCCCACTATCTGATGATGATGTGCTATAAAGAGCAGCAGGAGAAGTGGCTGCAGAAGCCTCAGAGGCCCCCCCCCCCTGCTCCCGTTGTGGCCCTCCATTGTGCAAGCTGGCTCATTTCCGCCCCCTGTTCATCTGAGGAGTGCCTCTCTCCCTCTCTGCCAGTGTGTGGACGGCTGCTGGAGGGTGGGTGTGTAATCCTTGGCCTTTTCATTGGCTTGTAATGATTCTTGAACTCAGCGTCTAATAGGGCATTATTGGGGCCCCCGCCTTGCTGGACAGCTGATTAATGTCTGAGGACATGACACAGGGCCGGCCGGGGCCTGATAAAAGGCCACTGTGATTGGAGGCAGCAGGATGATGAACGAGTTACAAAGCCCATGGCCGTGCTCTCATTAGCGCACCCCCGCTCCCTGGTATTAAGCTAATGTTGCGCATCGGGGCTGGCTAGCTCAGGAGAGGAGGGCTGGGAGCTGTGAGGAGCGAGGCCAGGCAGGGGGGGCCGTGGTGACCTGTCCGGTGGCTGGGAACCCCTTACCCACACACGGGCATCTGCCCCACCCAGAGGGCCACCATGTGCTCCGCATCCACTCTAAGACTAGGACTAAAAAGTCCCAGGTCCCCAGGAGCTTTTACCCCCGGTTACCCCCATCAAACCCTGGTGGCCACAGAGGTCTTCAGGGTCCAGCTCCAGTCCCCCTGAACCCTCTCAGAGGTCCGCCTGGTCCCTCTGGTCCTCAGCGGGTTCTGGTCCAGCAGAGCTGCTGAGACCATCACACTGTTTCCAGCTGCTGCTCCAAGATGGAGGAAGGAGCTCCCAGCCCCCTGTC